CACAAACACCTATATGTATACATACATATATTATATATATATATATGCGATATATAGATACAGAATCAATATTATCTCATTTTTTAATTGTTTATAATTAATTTTCTCCTTTGAAATAATAAATAATATGTAATTTAAAATCATGGAACTTTTAGATTACATGTATATTAATTATATAATTGATATAATATTAATTTATTTAAAATATATTTTTTCTTCATAATCTATGGTTTGGATTTAATGTATCAGTTAACATATGTTTTGTATTTATTTTAAAATAAACAATTTTTATGTTTGTGAAACAAAAATACAAACGTTTCACGTTGTACATCGAATGCATATTTAACAAATACATTGTGAAACACACATACACATACACACATATACATATATATATATATATGTGTGTGTGTGTGTGCGTGTGTGTGTGTGCGCGCGTGTTAATCAATATATTAGATTTTAGCCTTAAATAAATAAAAATAATGTAAAACAATACCTTATGATAATATATGTGGTGCTTAAATAAATAAGCCATATGTAAATAAATAGGCAGATGTTACGTTATCGTTTAAACTTATGCTAAACATTTTAATTTCATAAAGTGTTTCAAAACAAAAATCATTATTAAATGTGAAGTTCGACTTAATATATATCATAATGAAAAAACCTTATCATAAATCAAATATTTAAAACAATATGTAATTATATAGGTTGCGTCTTGTATGTGGATGAGACTCGATTAAATGGACGAACATAAAGCACATGATGGACAAATTGTGAAAGCTCAAACGTTTTAATTTAACAAGGGTAATTTAGTAATTTCGTCAATATTGTTTTATCTTCTTAATTTTTGTTCCACCTATTTTGATGAGATACAAAAGTGCATTTTTAATCTAATTAGGATCTGTTTGTTAGTAGTTTAAAATGAGATCCACAATTTATTTGGTCAGTTATACATGATTATTTTGTAGTGACTTAATGATACAAAAAGTAATATATTCAATAAACTTTTAAGGAGAAGATTTATGTAGAAAAGTAAGTCTTTTTCCAGACTTAATAGATAGTCATAATTTATAAAAAATTGAACAACCAATTATTTTTTACATATTTTTTTCCCAATATAATTAATTAAACATATTTAGACCTTTAATATAATCCTAAATTCTTTTTATATCATATTAAAAACTAAAAAACCTCATCTGACTTGGGATCATGTGAGATCAAGGGTTTTTTCTGAGACCCGTAAGATCAATTCTCAACCATTAGATTAGATCTACAATCTGAACATTTATAAACGCCACGAGACGTCTCAATAATCACAAAATTGTCACTGTGCAACTTTAGACCATTAGATCATTAGCTTATAAAGTTGATCAATGAACATAAATTGGTCTTACGGGTCTCACAAAAAAACTTTGGTCTCACGTGAACCCAACCTAACCTTTATCTTATCTTATTTTTATTTATTAATATATTATTATATAGTACATGTTAATAAGAATTGGACCCCTACAGTGTATCATCGTCATCACTACATAAAGATTGATTCACAAGTCTCCTTTCTTAATCTCTCTCTCTCCTCCATATTCTTTCTACAACTCTCTCTTCATTCTCTTCACACCTCCATCTCTCTCTCTCTCTCTCTTCTGTGGAGATTTTGTGTCAGAGAGAAAGTACAATTACATATAGTTTTCTTTGGGTTTTGTACTTCTTCCCCCCTTTGTGTCAGAAGAAAATCTTGAGTCTTTTTTCCTTTCCAAAGAACCCTAATTTCGATTTCTGTAAGTTTTCATCTTTCTGATACCAACACCATGTCTGCATCTGAACAACAAACCACCATAAACCCTACATCTCTCAAGATCCAACTCGCCTATCGATTTCATCATGCTCTAAAGAACCTCAACAATGGCAGAAACACACCCCTCATCAACAACACAAAAGCATCGGCTTTCGAGAACACCCAGATCCGTCGAAGGTCTCACCGTGTCAAGATCGCAGCCTACACATCAATGGCTTCTGTGGCTGGATCAAGAAGAGCTTGGAGCCGTGCGATTTTATGGAAGATCAGAAGTCGAGCAAGAAATAAGAAGATGGTTATTGATCATAAAACCAGTCGTCGTCATCCTCATCGTGTAGGGTTTATAAGGAGAAGAAATACAAACCCTAAAAGAGAATATGTTGACCCGATTGGGGATTCGGGTTTAGAAGTGAAGCTAAGGAAGCTTGTACCTGGTGCTGAGACGATGGATTCATACGGTTTGTTGGATGAAACTGCTGATTACATAAAGTGTCTGGCCACACAGGTAGAGGTCATGAGAACTCTATTAGATCTCTACTCCACCTTCTGAATATATATATATATATATATATATACACGCACAAACACCTATATGTATACATACATATATTATATATATATATATGCGATATATAGATACAGAACTAGTGTATGTATAATAATGTCTATTGGAGAAGATTGTGAAGCAGAATATATATATATATATATATATATATATGTGAAGGTGGTTAATCTTGAGTTTTCGTTTTTATCTTTTTTAAGAACAAATCATACCGCTCCAATTTGCAGAATATAAAGTGTTCCCAACTTGCTCTCTCGCTTTATCTGATTTTTTGTAGAAAAAAAACTATGATTTTTACATCTTCCTGACCATTAATTACAATTTTGTGTGTGTTTATTAGTAGAATTAATTACTTTAGTTTATATATATATATATATATATATATATGTGTGTGTGTGTGTGTGTGTGTGTTTTTTGGGTTGATTCATGATTTTATCTGAGTTGTTGTAAATATTTGAAGAAAAAACTGTGCTTTTTACATCTTTATGATTTTATCTGAGTTGCGTATTTATGGATGTGGGGGGATGATTCATGATTTTTAGCTGAGTTTTTGTAAATAAGTTAGGAAAAAAACTATGCTTTTCACATCTTCCAGACCATTAATTACATTTTTGTGTGTGTTAATTACTAGAAATAATTATTTTAGTTTTCATATAAATATATACATACATATATATATATATATATATTAGAACGGTATTCGTGCAAAGCAGCGAGATACATCTTCACTTTAACGTTTCGTTTTATTTTTTTGTCTCTATTGATATAATACGGTTTATGTAATTTTAATAAAGATAATGTTTTTACTTTTGAATAAAAATATATTTGGAGATATAAAAATTTGAAAAAAAATATATCGATATTAATATTAAATTAACTATTTAAAAGTTCTCATTTTTTGCACAATTTTTTTCTTTAATTCAATTTTTTAATATAATTTAATTTATGTCAAATAGCGAAGTAATTATTTTTTGGGTTCAACAATATAATTTTTTATAAAGATAATGATTTTGTTAGAACTCAATTATTATCCTAATTATATTTTAAATTTTTTATATTTGAAATAAGATATTTATCTTATATTTGATTATGTTTATCTGCAGTTAGTTATACAAATTCAAAATAGAGCTTTAATAAGTTGTACTTACGCACAATTTACTTGTAATCTTAAATTTTAAGTAATATGCATTAAGAATCAGTACTTTATGCATAAAAAATAGTTTTTAAGAGTTTTTGTCAAATGTTTAATAATATAATATAGATATATAGGGAGAGAGAGAGAGAGAGAGATGTGCGATTAAATATAAACCGTCCCAATTTATACAAACATTATAAACTAATTACAACCAATCATATAAATCCATTTGTTTTTTTTTAGTTTATAAAGGTATTATGGTTATTTGAATTTATAATAGTTATGTTTGGTAATTATTTAATATTAATATATAAGTTTGATAACAACGTAATATTTATATAAATATGAATGATATATTGATTACCACAAATATTAGCAAATATTTAATTGAGATATTCATTAATTTTTTTTGAAAAAAATCACCACATTAAATAAATGTAGAATAATTTTGTTTAAAAAATATAGACTTAAGATCATGTGAGATAAGACTGTTTTCGTGAAACAACATTTTTATACTTGAAACTTCACGGCAAAACATTGTGAAGGTAACCTCCACACTGCTTTTTCTATGAAGGTTTGGATTTTTTTTACCTTCACAATATTTTGTTGTGAAACTTTAAGTGTAAAAATGTTGTCTCACGTATCCCACGAAAACAACCTTGTCAAACGAAACCAGTTTTCATCCAAAAACTTATGGATCAGAAGGTTCATTTTTAATACATGTTTAATTAGAGATTCGATTTTTTAAAACTATCTTTAATAAATATGCTATAACGTTTTTCTACTTTCCAAATTCCGAGACTTCTCGGAGTTTTTTTTTCTATTTTAAAGGAGATTTTATAGTTATCGGAGTAATTTTTTTTTCTAAATCTCCAAAATTTCTAAAATAATATAGCTTTAAAAATTAATAAAGAAGTCGAATAATTAAATATGATTTAAAGTATTATTAATTAATCATGCTTTATTTGTTTCAATTGGACTTTCTTGCACATATATCACTAAAAATTAGATTCATTTATTTTATTTATGGAAGGTGCACCTAATTTATCTCATCTTATCGTCTCTAAAGATGGTTAAACATAATTTATATCAAATACTTGATTAACCTGAATATCCAACCTGCTATGCGAGCCGACTAAACCCAAACGACCACCTGCTTTGCAGGTAGTTTGGAGTCACTGCATGTGAACCTCCATGGTCATACGAGGATTTTTATTCCTCCTACGATTTGAACTTGTGACCTCTAAACAGTTTTAACCTTTGGAGTCAAGTTGAAACCGATCAGACGCCACCGTTGTGGTTTTTAATTGTGATTTTATAATTAACATGAATCTAACTTCGTTTTTTAGTTGATCATAACTTGAAATATAAGAAGTTGATTATGATGTAGTAACCATTGATCACCTACATAATATGATTGATGATTGATTTGAATCCTATCATTTATATACGTGTTTCTGATCAATGAGAGATCTGTTTCAGGAGTATAAAAACGCTACGATTGTGAATTGTCATGAAATCAGTTTGGATAAACCCTAAAATCACCCATTTTCAAAAACTTGAGTTTATTTTCAAATAATTATTAGTTTTAATTAATTAATTAATTAATTAATAAAAATAAAATTTATTATATAAATGGGTTTCCCATCAAATTAAGTGAAGTCCCATGTGAAGAGTATCTTTATCTTGGTATATAATCAAATCAATGATTTGTTTTTATCCTATAAAAAATTCACTTTTTGTACCAAGTTCCTTTTGCTGCTTTTTCCTTTAATCTCTTTTTAGAAAACTACTACATTTTTGGTCATTTCCTCAATTCCTTTTTATTGCTTTGTTTTATGTTATTTCTTTTACAGAATAATTGAATACGGAGGAAGTTTCGGTTGCAAACTCTGTATATCTTGTTTAATAAATATCTGATTCAATATATATCTTGGTTATTTTTTTTAATATAAAGCGTTGATTAAATATCCAGATCATAATAAACGAAAATCTTCATAAATTTTATAAATATCTCAATTAATTGGTTTTAGATGTTTTGTGGATGTTGAATTAGTTGTGATTATATATATAGCTAGTTTTTTGTTATGTTGAATTGTGTATGTATATATGAGAAATGAAATGAAATGAAATGAAGATTAGGGGGATATGGTATAGATTCTTGAAAACAACTGGCTTACTTTACAACCATGTGCAAATTGGCCTAATCTACATCTGTATATGCATTTCAAATTCCCTCTTACGTAAACATATATATATATATATATATATATATA